CTGTGGTAGCTGTATCCTTACCGAATGTATTTCTTTAATAAGAGTTGAAAGTCAAAATGCCTCATTGATCCTTTGGGCTACAAAATAGATGTTACATTAACAGGCATGAAAACAACATTCCTCTCCTGTACATCTCTGTCAGAGCTCTTGGGTAACCAGGTCTGTTTCAGTAAGAAGTATTATCTTCAAAGGAATCTTTAATCTTTTTTTTTTTTCTGAGCAGTCGCAATAGTGGGCTTAGACTATTTATTAAACCACGTTGTAAATAGATGTGCTGTCATCCTGACTTGCTTCTTCCATTTATAGAGCACAAGCATCATCATTCTTAAGGGCCCTGTGATTTTCAAAATGGTAAATGAGCATTGACTTGAACTTAAAAGATTTCTCTGTAGTATGCATTAGTCCCTAACAAGAGATTCAGCTTCTCCTTTGAAGCTTTGAGGTCATCTCTTGACTTCTCTCTAGCTATGAAAGGTCTTCATGGCATCTTTCCCAACAAAAGGCTGTTTCCTCTGCATTGAAAATCTATTGCCACCTTTATTAATACTTGCTGCAGCTTCTATATCAGTTCTTGTTTCTTTTCCTTGCAGTTCTTGTTTCTTTACCTTTTATGTTATGGAGACCGACTTCTTTCCTTAAATTTCATGAACAAACCTCTCCTCGCTTCCAACTATTATTCTGAAATTTCCCATCTCTCTCTGCCTTCATAGGATTGAAGAGATTTCGGGCCTTGCTCTGGTTTAGACTTTGTGGGGTTGTTGTAGCTGGTTTGATCCAAGCCACTCAGACTTTCTCCATATCAGCAATTAGACTGTTTGCTTTTTTATCATTCATTTGTTGACCAAGGTAGTACCTTTAATTTCCTTCAAGAGCATTTTTGCATTTATTGTTTGGTCCAAGAGGCCTGGCTTTCAGCCTATCTGTGCTTTTCAGTGTGTTAAGCTTAATCATTTCTAGCTTTAGATTTAGAATTAGAGCTGTGTAACTCTTCCTTTAGTTGAACACTTAGAGGCCATTGTAGAATTATTAATTGACCCAATTTCAATATTGTTGTGTCTTAGGGGCTAGGGAGGCTTGAGGGGAGGGAGAAATGGGGAGTGACTGGTGGATGAAATAGAATACATTTATTACATTCAGCATTATATATGGGTGTGGTCCATGGCACCCCAAAACAATTATGATAGTAACATCGAAGATACAGCTCACCTCCATATATGATAATTATATAAAGGTTTGAAACGTGACCAAGACGTGACCAAAGATACAAAGCGAGCACATGTGCCAATATGGTACAAACTTTCTATTTGTAAAAACAAAGCAAAACTGCCATAGCTGCAGAGTGCAATAAACAAGGTATGCCTATACTTGGAGAGTCACCCACCTCTTCTGTGTCTGGTTAGATCTCTGGGTACCTGTGATCTCCTGCCCACTGTGGGCGTCCATTCTTCCCATTTATGTCCATCACTGAAATTTGCTGGGAAGACCTTCCTCTGGGACCTGGACATCCTCCTGCCTGAATCTGGGTACCTCCAACCCCGGACGTTCTTCCTAATCATCCTGAGACACTTCCTAATCATCCACTTTCCTGTGCTTCCCTTTCTCCATTTGCCCAGTTGATCTGTGGTAGAACATTCTCAAGTCACTTCCTAGGGAAAGTACAGAGGTGACTTTTTAAAAAGATCTTACATGCCTAGAAACTGTCGCCATTCTCCATTCACACAGTAGATGGTTCTACTGAAGAATTTACCTAGAGAATTCTAGCTTGAAAACCTTCTTCCCTCAGAACTTCCATTGCTTTCTGACTTCTGGCATTGGTGTGGAGACATTGGATGCTACCCTGACTTCCAGCCCTTCTGTACTTGGTGGTTCCTCTGAAGCTCTTTGATCTCCCCCCAGCATACTGCCCGTCTCAGCGATGCGCTGGAGAGATGCTTGTGTTGTTCTTGGCTGGGCATTTAACTGCGGCCCTTTTCATCTGAAGACTCGCTTCCTCCCATTCTGGAAAATAATCATATCTGTGAAAATTACCCCCACCCCCACCCCGCATGCTCTTGTTTCCTCTCCTCTTCTCTCCTTTGTCCATCACCTTCTCTTGTCTGCTTTCTGGGAGATTTTCTCCAGCCTTTCCTGCTACCCTTTGTTGAACTTTCATTTCTCCACTTTTTAAATTTTTGAGAGCATTTTCTTGTTTGTTAAATAGCCTGTTAATAGTATTTTCATTCCCTCATAGTACATAATCTCTTTGGGGATGCCAGTCATGTTTTGTTTGCCAGTCTTAGCTTCTGCCTGGCTTGTGATGCCGCCCCGAGCCTGTGTTCTTGGTTTTCTGTTTTGTACTGTGCCGTAGATGGTGTCAAGCAACAGGTATGCCTGCTGGCTGTTAATACTGACAGTGAGGTATGACACTCACAAAGGCTGGGGAAAACGAGCCTCTAATTTTATTAAAATAATGTTTTGAATAAGAAATTCAATATACTTTAATTGAGACATTTATTTTCTAGACTAAAAAAGGTCCTGATTTTCAAAAGAAATTAAAGAGACATAAATGAAAAACAGAATTACCACTTTACCTCTGTGTAGTCATCAAAACTGATCTTCTGCCTGAAAAGTCTCAGCTCAATGGCCATCCCATCAAGGAACTAATTATATTTTTAATTGAAAAATAATCTAATTATAATCTCAATGATACCTTAGGGGGAAAAAAGACTGTAATACCACAAAGCCTCTTGGATGGTCTCTAGGGTGGTGGTATGGGACAAGAGCTCAGGGAGGCTGCTTTGGTGGGGGGAGGGCATGCAGCATAGGACACCTCCCCAAACCCCCAGTCTCCTGGCCTCAAGGTGAGAACTTGCCTTGCCTTGTTTTCATGGTCCTCGGTCCCCTGAAGGGTCCTCTGGCTTCTCCAGGTGACACCTAGGAGGGGGCTGTGTCATTGGCAGCACTGCCTCCACACTTGGGCTCTCTGGGTCCCACTGTAATGCCTGGAGCCTCAAGACCTGCTTTTCCGGGAGGCTGGCATGGGAGGAGAATGGCCAGATGGCTGCTCACCACCCAGAGCAGAACCAGGCCTGCCAGGGTCTGAGCAGGTATCTAGGGCCCAGCAGGGATGGGGTGGCAAGAGGGTGGCAGTGGGGCAGCCTGGAAAAGGCTGGTGGCAGCTCCAGCTGCAGTGGCTTTGGACCTCTGTCAGATGTATTTCTCTCAGCCTGAATTCCTGCCATCATCGTAGACCTGGAAATACCCCTTCCTGTCAGGCTGCTCATTTATTTTCCTTCTTTGTACACATAGGCTGTGGTGTGATTGACAACTGTGTCTTAGGCACTCAAAGCGGTGACCTTCTAAACCTGGGCTGTCAGAGGGTTGGCATGGGGTCTGCCTGGTGAGAGCATCCCAGCCCAGAGTGCAGCTAGCAGGACAGGCAAGCAGTGCCAGAAGTAGTCCTCAGGATCTGGAGTCTCTTGCCTAAAACAGAAATGTGACTTAGAAATTGTTTTTCCAGGGCCTCCCCGGTGGCGCAGCGGTTGAGCGCTGGGTTGCAAAGCTGCCGGCGACCTCTGCGGCGCCAGTTCGATCCCCGGCTGCTCCCCGGCCACCGGAGGAGGGTCCCACATGGCGCGCGGACCTCTCCTGCCGCCCGCTGCTCCCCTCAGCAGTGTACTTCGGTCCTTCTGCCTGTTCTGCTCCCCGCTCTGGCTCTGGTGAATTCTCTCACCCTCCCGCGCTTCTGACTGTACCCAGTGCATGTATAAACAAAACGAACGAACAAACAAACAAATAAATAAATAAAAACATGCCTCTATAAAAAAAAAAAAAAAAAATTTAAAAAAAAAAAAAAAAAAAAAAAAGAAATTGTTTTTCCATAAAAGGGGGAATGCAGTGATAAATGAAACACAGTGCACGTTCTTCATTTCCACTTTCATCTGAAACCTGGAAGAATAGCATTTTTTTCATATGACACCAGGAAGGCCATCCCCAAATTCAGACTTCTCATGTGCTGGGCCCTTGGGGACCCCTGGAGTGGTCTTCATTTCCTCATTAAATCTGACATCCCATCTGGTCCCTGGTGTTCTCACCATTTCCTCAAGAAAGATTCCTATCTATGCACTGTAGGAAGTTTTCTCAGTTTTCCTGTCAGGAAGCTTTAGGTAGAGCAGGATGAAGCCCTGGTGTTAGACACAGAAGTCTTGGTCAGTCTCTCTGGGGCGGGAGCCCTGGTCCAGATTCCAGCCCATGGCCTATCTGTGAGTTGAGTGTTTGTGCCCCTAACTTGTCCCAAGCCTGCAGACACTTCTGTCCTGCCCTGTGGATGAAGCTTTGGACCAGGGCTCGGGTGCCAGGCACAGACCTTACTGAATGGTAGGTGAGAAGCTGGCCACTCAGAGGGTCTGCTGGGCCAGGCTGGTAGGACATGTGCTGGAACTGCCCCAGGAAGCCTCTGAAAAAGGGTTTGTCCACAGAGTTGGCCAAACCGTGGAAGGAGGCACAGAGGCTACCTGACTCTTCTCCTGCTGCTGAGCCTGTTTTTTAATGTAAACTTTCTATTCTTTTTTATTTTTTTTTAAGATTTATTTATTTATGCACACAAGGCCTCCCCTGGTGGCACAGTGGTTGAGCACTGGGCTGCAAAGCTGTCCGCAGCCTCTGCAGTGCCGGTTTGATCCCCGTCCACCGGTGAGGGTCCCACATGGAGCACAGACCTCTCCTGCTGTGCCCCTCTGCCTGTTCTGTTCCCCGCTCTGGCTCTGCTGAATTCTTTCATCCTACCGCGCTTCTGACTGTACCCAGTGCTTGTATAAATAATTAATTAATTGATTAATTAATTTAAAATGTTTATGCATACAAGAGCTGGGGTACAGGCCAGAGATGCAGGGGGTGAGAGGATTCACCAGAGACAGAGTGAGGAGCAGAATAGGGAGATGGACCGAAGTACACTGCTGAGGGAAGCAGCGGGCAAAACAGGAGAGGTCTGCTGTGCCATGTGGGTTGCTCCCTGGTCGGCCAGGGATCGAACTCGTGCTGCAGAGGCTGCGGATTGCTTCACAGTGCGGTGCTTAACTCCTTGCACCACCAGGGAGGCCCAAATTTTCTATTTTTTTTAACAGAATAATGATCTGAATATGGGTAGCGTGGCCCAAGTGCCTACAGGCAGGGATTACTGGTGTCATCTCTGGTGAGGGTAAGGTACCCGTCAGCATCATTAGGGTCAAGGAGAGCCACTTGCCACATGGCTGGACATTAGGTTTTTTCCAGCTGAATGCGTCCCTCCCTGGGCCACGCAGCTGGCGGGGCTTTCCTAACCTGTCACCAGGAGAGTGAGGCGTGATATTTTGGTCGACTTCATTGTGTCTGGAAGGGTGTTGCAGTGTCTGGGACTAGATGCTGTTGAGCAGCAGCATCTCCAGCAGCCATGCTGTTTGGCAAGATGCCGCGCAGAGAATCTTCAGAAAGAGCCCTCATATTAGGGTGGCTTGTCCATTGAACCACAGCTTCGTGCTGTCTCCTGTGGCACTTGGCGCCCCATGGATGCACTTAAAACCAGATATTGAGTTTGTGAATGTGTTACTGCCAAGATCCTCCTTCTGCACATCTTACTTTAAGCTTGGGTATTTATCTGGTTCTGAATAAAATTCACAAAGGCAGCTTTTATTGCTTCCTGCCTTCAACAGGCTTCTTTATGGTTGTTGATTAAAGTTTCTGCATTCACAGGACTTACCTAGCTCTACCATATTTGAGGAACCTAGTGGACAAAAGAATAAGAATTCCTATATAAGAACCCTTAAAATTCTATTTGACTTACATGGGTTCATTACTGACAAGTGATAATGACCTGGAGTTGAGTTGACCGTCAGTTGCCAAGTTGTTCTCAGTTACAGTATTTTATTTTTCATTGATCCCTTCCTCCCTTCAATAACATTTCTTGAGCACCTTCAAGTGTTATAGATAGGCCCCCACCTCCACCCCGTCTGAGGGGGACAACTATGTGAACCAGTAATTACTATTATGGGGCTCACAGAGGAAGAAGTTTCTGGCTAGTGTGTCAGGAGAGTGGCACAAAAGAGGTGGTAGCCTCTGAGCTGGTGTCTCAGGACTTGAGAGCATTTTTAGTATTTGGACAGCAGGGAATGACCCAGTGGCAAAAGAAATCTTTTCAAGATAGGAGGGAGCACGCATGTGTGAGCATCTTCTTGATGGTTCTGGGAGGTGTGACCTTGGAAGAGCTGGCCCCTGGTCCTGGTGAGGCTGGAGCAAGGCAGAGGAGAACCTGTGTTTCCCCGGAGGTGGGCTGGCACTCGGTGCAGCACAGAGTCTTCTACCGTGTTTTATCCACTTTTAGTGCTGTCTTTGGTTTTCTCTGAATATTCAGTCTTAGAAATAGTTTTCAGAATCAAAATGTTGATGTGGTTTGATACCAAAATCTACTTTGGCTAACTAGCCAAAGCCTGTCTGTCACTGTCGAGCTGAGTCCCTCACAGGTCTGATACAAGCGAGCGCAGGGTGAGCATTGGGTTTGAAATGGGACCAGCTCCAAGGAAGGAGCCTAGATGTTTCTAGCCCTTGGATTTGGTTGCAGTTTCCAACTTGAATTGCACTGCATGCAGCCTAGAAGAGATGAACAAACGTGAGCCATTGCGAGTGAAGCAGTGGCTGTGGCCCAAGAGGACCATGAGGGCAGGTCCCTGGGGAGGCCAGTGTGCCACCCCAGCCCCCTCCAACACAGGAATAGGTTGGATTCCAGCAGGTACCTCACCTTCTACCAGCTGTGAGCATTCTCTGGATCCATGACTTTCCTGTCCTTTCCTCAGCACCGTCATGTGGCCAAGTGAGCACTAGACAGAAGTCCTGCCCCTGCCCGCAGGGCCCACCAGGCCCAATACCAGTGAGCAGAAATGGCCACTCAAATAGATGGAGTTTGCTCCCTGGCTCTTGGTCTGACTCTGTCACTGCTGCTCTTTAGTTGCACTGTCTGTCCTCTGTCCAAGAGCTGGCGCAGCATGGTAATGAGGTGCAGTCTCGGGCTTCTGTCCCTGAGGCATCCAGCCAGGTCCTGGGATCCTGTTTCCTGCATACATTCTCCTTTGAGGACCATGAACTTACAGCATGTCTTCTCTCCACAGTGTTCCCAACTCCTGCCCGGCCAGTCCACGGGGAGCTGGATCCTCCGGCTACCGCTTTGTCCAGAATGTGACCTCAGACCTGCAGTTGGCAGCAGAATTCGCCGCCAAGGCTGCCTCAGAGCAGCAGGCAGACACGTCTGGAGGGGACAGCCCCAAGGTCTCAGCCCTCCTAGTGCATTTGACCCCTGAGGTTATCAGGCGTAGGTGCAGCCGGGCCACACACAGGTGCCCCAGGGACCACAGCGCGGTTGCCTGGGAGGCATGAAAATGGCCCATTTTCATGGGCCTCTGGCCTCTGGCCAGCCTTGTTTCCTATCCAGATAGCACCGTGTGCACATGGGCATGTGCCAAGTCTAGGCGCTGTGGGCACACTCACTCCCGCTCCACACTTCGGACCCCTTCTCCTCATCCTGTCTACTGTTAGCAGAATAGCTTCCGAGCATTAATTGGAGTTTGTGAGACAAATGGCAGGTTCTTTCCTTACAATTTTATGTCTCATTAACTTTTTAAATCAACTTGTAGAGGAGATGAGACATTTCAGAATTAAATTATGATAACCTCATTTTTCCTTCCCATGAGGCAGAAATCGCCATTCCTGATTTAGTGCAGGTGCGGGGATAAAACAGGTAGAGGTCATGGGATGGACTGAATCAGACACGGAGAGCCTCGTGTCCTTATGGGAGGGTTGCTCTGTCAGGAGGTGACCTCTGGGCAGACAGGACTCAGATACGTTTCTCAGGCAAACTTCTGTTGCTTTTCCTCCCTAGGATGAATCAAAGCCGCCGTACTCATACGCTCAGCTGATTGTGCAGGCCATCTCCTCCGCACAGGACAGGCAGCTAACACTAAGCGGCATCTATGCCCACATCACCAAGCATTACCCATATTACAGGACGGCTGACAAAGGCTGGCAGGTGAGGCTCCAGCTCCAGACACCTGGCTCTCAGGAAACTCAAACCTGACCTCTTCAACAAAGATAAACAGAGAGGCTTTCATTGTATTCCGAGGTGGATCTAAAGTGGGCTCCAGGCCAGTGAGTCTAAGTCGTCTCCCATTTTGGGGACCAGAAACATAAAGGCTGGCATATTTGCATCATGACATATCTGTGCTAACTGTGCATTATAATACTGTGCTGATTTGGAAAGGCACTGCATTCATTACTTACATGTATAAATTGTTTCGTCCTCATACAGGATCGCGAAACCTTTGTCTACAGCAGGCATAATGTGTCGTATGTGTATATTATCTCCATAGGAACTGTTACTTCCCATTTGCTGGGTTTTTTTCCAGTACAAGTTTGGTCTCGGCATATTCCTAGACCATGGGTTATCGTTCTGTTTTGCTTTTTTGTAAAGAATGGTAATGATACTATGTTGAATTTTGATGGGAAATCAGTCACAGTGCCTTGCTCTTCCACATTCAAACACAGTTAACTTGCCAACCTATGAAAAACCTTCCCTGGCATGAACACTGGGTCTTTCCCCTAGCTTTTACATCTGTTGTGTTCGGATTTGGAGTGCATTGGGATCAGTCTATTGGTTTGTTAACGATTGGTGAATATCTGTGCTTTGCCTGCAGAATTCTATCCGACACAACCTCTCTTTGAACCGTTACTTTATTAAAGTCCCCCGTTCTCAGGAGGAACCTGGGAAGGGGTCTTTTTGGCGAATCGACCCTGCCTCAGAGGCCAAACTTGTGGAGCAGGCATTCCGAAAACGGAGACAGCGCGGTGTTTCCTGCTTCCGGACCCCTTTTGGACCTCTGTCATCACGGTAAGCCTCTGCTCTGCTCGCGCCCGCTGGAGGCTGGCCTCCCAGGACATCTACGTAAAACCCTTCACTTTTCTTGTCACGATAATCTCTCAGGACTGATAAATGTGTGAAATAGCAAGGTCAGGAAGCAGACTGCTGGCTGCTCTCTAACATATCCGTTCTTAGAAGCTGAAATGGGTCCCGTCTAGGAACAGCATCTAAGACAGCGATGGGTGTAAGTGCTTACAGCTTACAGCACCTTCCTTGAAGCAGGCTGTGCCACAGGTTTGAGGGACCCAGTCAGTACGCGCCCTCTTCCCCGACGGAGCACTGCTGTGCCCAGGAAGGGATGGATGAGGAGGGAGACTGGGGCCCGGGCGAATGGTAACTAAAGAAGGGGCTTCTGTGGCTTACTGTCCATGTCAGAGAACTGTAGTGCTCCCAGACCTTGTATTGCCCTCTGAGTGCTAGATTCGTCCTAGGGGGACGTTTTTGGGTGTCCTACAAAAGTATGTTTTTTAACATACAGGTCACTTTGGTGGGGGACTAACTGGTCCCTCTCAGGAAGTAAATGCTCCACGTGGGATGGCAGCTCTGGTGGGGAAGCCATAATGATGCAGGCCATTGTTTGGTGGGGTTTTATCTGTTAGGCTTGTGCTACATTTATTGGGTGGTAAGTTGAGGCAGTGGGAATGTTCATGTTGGAAATTCCTCATGAGGACAGAGAGGCTTCAGGAAAGGTTGGGCAGAGGTGACATGTGGGGCATGGGCAGTAATATGTTTCATGTTTGTTAAACACTCTTTTCATTTATTACATTTACTTACTACCATGGCCATTTCTCTCCCTTTTCTGTGTAGGAGTGCTCCAGCCTCACCCACTCACCCTGGGCTAATGTCCCCTCGTTCTAGTGGCCTGCAGACTCCAGAGTGCCTGTCTCGGGAGGGCTCACCCATTCCACATGACCCTGACTTTGGGTCAAAGTTAGCTTCTGTTCCAGAGTATCGCTATTCCCAAAGTGCACCTGGTAAGAAGGCTTTTTCTCTTACGGCTGTGGCAGAATTCAGAACTGTGCCAGAAGGAGATGTCCGAGTCACCATTGACGTGCTCCTTCCTTGCTCCTCTGTGCAGGCTCTCCCGTCAGTGCCCAGCCAGTGATCATGGCTGTGCCTCCCCGACCTCCCAGTTTAGTGGCCAAGCCCGTTGCCTACATGCCTGCCTCAATAGTGACAGCTCAGCAGCCCTCTGGCCACGCCATCCACGTGGTGCAGCAGGCCCCACCTGTCACCATGCTCAGGGTGGTCACCACCTCCGCCAGCTCTGCCAACGGATACATCCTCACCAGCCAGGCTTCAGCAGGGGGCACCCACGAAGCAGCAGGCACAGCCGTGTTGGACCTGGGCAGTGAGGCCAGAGGTAACGTAGCCCTTCATTCACCTGGCTGCGACTTAGTCAGCTGTCATTGGTCTCCTAGAAGGTAGAGCATCAGCCTGGGCTTCAGGGCCTCAGAGCCAAGCCAGGGACACAGGCTGTCTCTGAAACTGATGGTTCTCAGGCTCTGCCTCTCCCTGCTGCTTGTTGTTGGGGGAGTATGTCCTTCTAAATTAGCACTAATTATCCCTGAAACATGTTTCTCCTTGTGTAATGTGCCTTAGGATGCACAGAGCCTTCAAGGTGACATTGAATTAGGTGTGGGGCCTTCCTAGCATTGGAATCAGGAAGATGATTCCTCTAGAGCCTGGAGGAGTCCTTAGAAGTGACTTAAAGTCAAAAATAGTTACAAAATCCTAAATTAGAAATCCAAATCCCAAGGAATGAATAGAGTAAATATTCAATATGCAACTCATGGTATAAAAGGCCTTTCCTCACAGGAGTACTTTCAAATAGCATCTCCTGCGTGCTATTGGCCACTGTTAAAGGATCTCAGCAGAATGTCTTATTTTAATTCTGTCATAATGACAAATGCTTTTGGTGAAAGAAGGCTAAGTTAAGGCTCCAAACACAAATTATTTCATTCCAAATGATGCATTTTCTTTCTCAGATTAAATTTGGGTTTGTTGGGACCTCCCTGATGGCGCAAGGGGTTAAGTCTCAGTGCTATCAAGCTATCTGCAGCCACTGCAGCATGAATCCAATCCCCGGCCAGGGAGCTGACCCACATGGCACGGCAGACCTCTCCTGTCTCTCCCACTGCTCCCCTCAGCAGTGTATTTCAGTCAATCTGCCTGTTCTGCTCCCCACTCTGTCTCTAGCGAATCTTCTCAGCTCCAGCACCTCTGGCCTACACACCCCAGCTCTCGTGTGTATAAATAAATAAAATAAATCTTTTAAAAAATAAGTTGGGGTTTGTTGAAGTTCAAGGTTTAAAATAATTTGTTCTAAGGTTCTGTTAGTCATTTTTATTCTTATTTCAAAACATATTTCATCAGGGGGAATTTTTCTTTTGAGAACCAAAGCTTTTTCCCAGTGTCAGTGCTTAAAAAATACCACAGTTCACTTAGCCCCCGGTAACAGACTTAATGGCAGTGGATGGCTGCTACAGGCCAAGTGTGGTTGTGATACATTTCTGTCCTGCAGGCTTGGAAGAGAAAACCACCATTGCATTCGCCACCATCCCTGCCACCAGCCGGGTTATCCAGACAGTGGCCAGCCAGATGGCCCCAGGAGTCCCCGGACACACAGTCACCATTCTGCAACCAGCCACCCCAGTGACCATCGGGCAGCACCATCTTCCAGTCCGGGCCGTCACGCAGAATGGGAAGCACGCCGTCCCCACTAACAGTTTAGCCGGCAGCGCTTACGGTGAGGCCCTACCGTCCTCAGCTCCCTCTTCTTTAGCTCTGTAGTTAAGTTGGGCTTGGTGCAACATGAAAATGGTCTTCCGTAAAATGTAATACCAGTCAGTGTGTTGAGCTGCTGTGCACCAGGCACTGATGACACTAAGAAAAAGCAAAATCTTCATGTCTCAGATCAGAGAGTGAAGTGAAATAGACAGCACATGTGGGCATAAGGAAAGCATGGACCAGGCATGGGTTTTTCATGGGATGGGTTTCAATTTAATGTGGGATGGCTCAGCGCAGGCGCCACTTGGTATTCCTGCAGCAGGTAAGGGAGGGAGCCCGCAGGGTATTTGGAGGGCTCCAGACACGAAAAGCAATCATATCAGGGGCCTCGAAGCTGTCACATATCCAGCAATTAAAGGAAACCAGGGACGGAACCCCCTCTGGCAGAGGGGAGCCAGGGTCAGGGAAGGGACGGCTCACAGGAGTCACAGTCCATGAGGAAAGGCCTGCCCGAGGTGAGGCTGACTGACTTTAGACAGGGGGCTGGATTCTTTGTCACTTCTTAGTTCTTACAGAGTGATTTTGACCTATTTTCAGAATAACCAGTGGGTATCTGGTTGATTTCCCAGTGTAAATCTCTTTTTCCTCTACTCCTAGCCCTCACCAGCCCCCTGCAGCTCCTTGCAGCCCAGGCTAGTTCATCCACTCCAGTGGTGGTCACCCGGGTGTGTGAGGTGGGGCCTGAGGAGCCAGCGGCAGCAGTAGCATCAGCAGTCACCACCACCACCACCCCAGCCACTGCCAGCACCACCTCCACCTCTGCCTCTTCCACCGGGGAGCCCGAGGTCAAGCGGTCCCGAGTGGAGGAGCCCAGTGGAACTGTGACCACGCAGGCTGGGGTAATCACAGCTGCTGGCCCGCAGGCTCCGGGCTCCGGGGAATGAAGTCACCTGCGTGTAGGTGGAGCAGGACGCATGCCGCAAGAATTCTGGAGCTGGATCGCAATGCTGACAGCGCTGCCGCTCCTGGATGTGGGGAGAAAACTCCACGCTGCGGAAGCACGGTGCCAAACAGACAGGATGGCCTCCATCTACCTGCACCTGGACACACTCATCCTCCTTTCCATTCTCTCTCCTGCCCCTGCTCTGGTTCCAAACAAAACATATAAACAAGTTCAGACAGCTGATTGTATGATTCTGGGAATTCTTTGTTTTTATTTCCTTCTCCCTTAGCACACCATCTTCTCTCCCCAGGCCTGTGTCAAGGGCATGGGAGAAGGTCTAGCAGCGTCTCAAGGAATGTATCACAGCAGACCTGGCCACACGCAGAGGCAAAAATCTGGAGCAAACTGCTTCCCTGGGAGGACCAACAGACATACAGCCTGGGACACACGGGCCCTCCGCAAGAAAGGACAGGACCAGGGATAAATCCCCATTTGTGATCAATTTGAACAGGCCAGAGAAAGACAAGAACGGCCGAATTTCAGACTGTTTCATGGTGTTTTCTCCCTAAAAGTGACAGAAAATATTGGCATTAATCAGGGGAGGGGGGTTCAGTTTGGCTTTGCACCCCAAGCGTGTCTTGTTTAAATGTGGAGCCTGGGAGTCACATCAAACTGAGACAAAAAAGGAATCATCTGTCTTTGGGGTTTTCATCTGTGGACGGTGTAACACGTTGGGTCTGGGATTCCTTCAAGAGTAAATCTGCCGCTCTGTCTGTTAACTTCAAGAAAGATTGACGGCTTGAGGCAGAAAACTGTGAAAGAGCAGCTGGGAGCCAGCGTCCCCCCTGCAGTGCTGGCTGTGCCCAGATTGCAGGGCCGTGGAACTGCAGGCTGGTGCTCCTGGTGGCTGAGGGTGGGCAGGGGGACCTTCACACCCATGTTTCTCCCAAAACAGTAGGACCTGCCCCGTGTTCTCTGCTTCTGATGCCCTGGTGCCAGCATACCACTCTCGGGATCCGTGCTGAGTGTCGGCTGCTCATGCCGCTTTCTCATCTGGTTCGTTGTCTTCACCACCCAAAACCCATCTGCTGTTTTAAATTGGAACTAATTCTCCTGCCGGCAGCACCAGTGGCTCTGAGGTAGGTCAGCAGCAGCTGGGAGCAGGCTGTTCTCCCACCCCCAGCTCCTGCTGACTCTGTCGATCTTGTCTCCTGGGGTGGGGGGACCACCTTTGTGCACAGATGCCCAGCACCATCGGCAGCTGTCACCAGGCAAGAGGTGCATGGGACCATCTGATGTGCAGCCCAAGTTGGGGGTCTCACTGCTCCTGGAGAACATTCTCAGGAAATGCTAAGATCACCTCTGTGAAGTTATGGTGCACCTGGCCGGAAGCCTGGGCATTGGTTTGGTGGTGGACACAACTGAAAAACAGCAAGCTGCATGGAGCTCGAGAGTCATAGAGACAATGGTTTTAGCCTCTTACCAGCAAAGCTGCTTCCTCAACCCGAGGGAACCTCAGTCTCGGTAAAATCTGAGGGGAAGGGCACAGGCTGCAAGACCACCCTGGCCAACAGCACTAGCTCAAAACCGGGGGGGGGGGGGGGGGGGGCCTGGAAGTGAGGTCTGAGACAATCCAGGCCTGACTGGCTCACGTGCAGAGGGACCTGGCTCTAGCCGGAGCTTGAAGAGCAGGGGTGCATGGTGAGCCATCTGACCGCCACAGTTGTCCCCATGCCACTGTCATCTATCACTGCGGGCCAGAGCGGAACGTCCACTGGCATTCCTCCTACCTGCACGGGGACGTTCCTATTCCGGTGTTCCCTAAGCCCCACACCTGTCGTTTCTATGGCACTGAACTTTCAATGGGAAATAAGCTCTTTTCTGGAAGTCTATACCTGTTGCCTTGGGGGAAGTTTCAGAGAAAATGGGCCTGGATGACAATAGACTGGCCTGCCGTTCCGGGCATCATCAGCCACCGTCGGCAATGAGAGGTCACGCTCGGTTCCACATTTACTTTCTGTTATTTTCTATAACCGTTTCTTTGCGATGTGTCTGGTGTGTGCATGGCTGGGAGTGAGCGTGGGAGTGGTGCTGAGGTGGCACATGCAGCTGACCGTGAGTCTCCTCGCAAGGGTTCTGCCTCTGAGGGTCTGAAACTGGCCTGTCAGAGCTACTTGCCTGCCTCCCTTCCTCCCCAGGGCTGTGTGTGGTCTCCTCCGGGCCGGGGTTGGGGGGGTGGGGGGGGGCGGTGTGTGTGCTGTGGACCATCCCCACCGCCTAGGGAAAGCCAGTACCAATCTGTCTGATCTGACCCTTTGCTTTCCTGGAGATGTTTTGGTTTCTGTGTGTTCTCAGTGATGGTCCTGCTGTTTATTCTGGCAGTGATCCAAGCAGAAGGGAGTGGAAGATGTGGGTGAATGGAACTGGAAGCAGAGGACAAACATTGATGGGGTGGCATTCTTCCCAGCGGAGAGCTGCTTCGGGGACTGAGGAGGGACTTGTGGGGAAGCTCAGATTAAGCAGGCAGGGTGTGGAGAGCTGGGCCTTGAGGGACTACCACTCTGGGTTTACAGTCAGCTTCTTGATGGGTTTTGGTCCCGTGACTGGGCAGCTTTCCCAGCTTGTGCCAGAACTTATCCTGAGATTGGTAGCCAGAGGCCCAGGAATGAGCTGTACCCAGGGAGATGCACATAGTAGCCAGATCACCCAGTCCCCTCAGAGCTGACCACAGACAGTCTCCATGGAAGCAAGAACACTAGGCCAGAAACTACCAGAACAGTGGCCTTACAGTCTGGGGGTCCTGTAAACGCTGCAAGTATAGATTGCAGAGGGTAGCTGACCCCAGGTCAGGAGTGAAAATTCAGCCTCAGGAGTGTCATTCAGCCTCAGGTGTCTGAGAACCTTCTCTTTGGTCCCCTGGGGTTTGGCCTCTAGTGTGGTCTTCATGAAGAGATTAGCAGGTGGTAGCTCTGGGAAGGTCTGGTTTCCTGCCTGGTTCTAACGCAGGGCATAAGCCCTGTTGCCACAGCTGTTCCCCTCCATCAGCTCCCTGATCCTCCCACAGAGCATCCATTTCTCTACCTGCCTCCTGGACAGATCATCAGACTCTCCAGCACCAAATACAGAAATATACTCTGCAGAGGAAGAAGGTCACAGAGATACTTGTTTTTAAACAGTTGAGCATTTCCCAAGAAACGTTGAATGTGAGTGGAGTTGTGCCCAGGAGCTTGCTGGCTGCCAGGGCTGAGGTGACTTGGTGGCACTTTTCAACTGCACTGACAGAGCTGGCGGGGCTTCTGATGCCCCAGGGGGCCAGTAAGTATGGGTCATCAGCTCTCTGCTGAAGCTCTTAGATGACACTGGCCTTTGTTGAGGGCAGCTAATGCAGCACCTTTGAAGGACTTAGACTATTCTTAAACCTATAAAGATTATACAACTTAAATCCCTGTATGAAGGTAGTTCTGTACCAGAGTGGCTCCCTCGACCCAGGCTGCCGTCCCCTCAGACGCACTCATTTTAGAAGTGCTCCTCTACTCTGGTCTGGTCTAGGCTTGCAGCATGGAGAGGGTGAGGCTGGTGCTGTGAAGACAGAGACCGGAACCAAGTGCAGGCGCTCATGGCCACGGTTGCGTTTTCCTCTGGGGGTCTCGTTTGTTCATCTTTGGGATTTGCTATTTATTTGTGTTTTGTTTTCCTTCTCTACTTAAGAACCAAGCCAAATGGAAAAAAAAAAAAAAAAGTGGAAGTGGGTTTCTGAATTGCTAAATGAGGGAGGAATTGGACTTCGTGGAGCTTGGCTATAGCCTCCCTGCCTATCCAGACTGTCTGGGCCCAAAGGCCCCAGCCAGGCCAGATCTCAGCCCCCTGACTCCTATGTCCTTCTTCAGTATCTTGCTGGGCCTGGTGAAAGACTGGTTTGGGATCAAGGGCATCATTCAACAAGGGCTCTTATATCCTCTAAAACAATATCTCCCTGGAACATTCTGGGGGAGCTGTGTTTGACGATCTCTCGCTGTAGACAGAAATCCCTCAGCAACTCAGAGTTCAGGGGGAGAAAGCTGCTCTTTGGCTTTGGAGTCAATTTCTTACTTTATAGAGACAAACAGACCTCATTTGAAAACACAGAAACTTAGTTGAATGTGAGAAAGTGTTAAGAAAGGATTTTTTCCCAGTGCTTTTTGAGTGGAGAAACCAGTTGGGGGGCCTGAAGGAGCTGTTTTTCTTTAAAAGCCTCAAATTCTGCTTTGCACTTGCATGACTTCCTCTGGGATGAGGGACATTGCAGTCTCAGGGTTCCTTCCAGGCTCCAGCCGCTGCCCCTCCTTGCCCCTCTGGAGAGCATAGCTCCCCTGAAAGAAGGGCCCAGAGTCCCCATTACCGATGCCTGCCCCTCGTTGCAGTGCTAAATAAATAGTGCACTGCTTGCTCCAGGATGTTACCAAAAAAGGACTGTGAGACTAGACGACAGCCCAGGATCGCTAAGCCGAAGCTTTGTCCACGTCATACAGCGTGGCCACCACAGGCCGGTGGGCAGGATGGCGCGAGACCCCCGGACGACCCCGCCAGTCTTGGCTGCAGTGAAGATCTCCCACGGCCTCTCACAAGCCGCCTTCGTGATACCTCTGCCTAGAAGCAATATTATTTAATAAGAATAATATAAATTATTCAAATGTGCTGCTATGAAGATAGGATTGACCTTCCGATGGGACCTGCTGTGGCTCTTTGGGGCGAGGGCAGGGTGCAGCCACAGCAAGTGGTTGCTTGCCCGGTTTCTGTCCATTATTTGCAGGTGGTTTTCCTGTATTATGTAAATTCCTTTCTTAAGTTCCTTTCTTGAGGCCTTGTTTTCCACGTTAGCTTTTTTTAAATGCTCAGGACACGGTTCTTTCCATCCACAGGCTTAACTCTTTCTCTAGGGTTTGGTGCAGGACGTCTTGCTTTTTCTTTTAATACAAAAGCTGCTACCTTTGTGTTGGGGAGGGTCTGGAGGGCATTTGGGCCACAGGCCACGAGCTGTGGCTGTCTCCCTGGCCTGGGAGGGAGGTTTGAAGTCAGCCCTGGATGTGGAGCAGGTGGATTCTGTCAGTGTAATTTGTACAAGGGGCATCTTGTTTGGAGCTGTTTTCCTTTTCCTGTCACCAAGCCCTGAAGGGATAGCTGCTTCCAAGAATAGAATTTTGTGATACAACCATGAGTGTTTCCTGGAGAACAGGCCCACTTCACTGTACAGGGAAACTAGTTTCACTCTAGAAAAGAAAGGCAGGCCGCTGGCTCAGCTATTCTGCCCCCACGGGCCTTTGAAGGCCTGATGGGGGCTTCTCTGAGAAGGTGGTTCTGGCCCAGGCTCACCCCCTCCGCCTTCCCCAGGCTCAGCATCCTGCCAGGCCTTGCAGAACCAGACTCTGGAAGCAGGCCAGCCCTGTTGCTGCTGACTGGTCTGGGTCCCTAGGGATGAGCAAAGGTGCAGCCTGGCCTGGGCTGAGCTGGCTGCCTGGGAGATGGGGAAGGTGTTTGGGGATACCGCTTGACCCTCGCTGGGCCTCCATATCACAGCTGCTCTCTGCACCAGCTGCCTGCAGGAGGCTGGACTCCTGTTTGAAAAACTGAAAAACACCGCTGCTTCTGTCCTGAGAGGCGGGCCTTCTCTCTGGAATTCTAAACCCCACTCAGTCGACAGGAGGCCTTCCTGCAGGGTAACCGTTACCAGGGGGAGGACTGAGCATTACACAGAAGCGCTGCTGTCACCAGGGACTAGCGTTTTCACTGCATCTTGACACAGTACTAAAATTAAAACCTCTTTGAATCAGTGAGCCTTGGGGATCTTCCGTTTCTTTTCCTTATCCTAATGGCTGGTTCGGGCTGCTCGCTATTATTAGCAGGTGGTTAAGGGAGCACTCACTTTATTTCTAGGCATCTTTCCTTCTCTCCAGGGAAATACCCCACACAAAAGGGTTTCATTCATTCATTTGCACCTGCTTGTCATTCTGGTACCAATTGGGAAAATATGAGAATTCGGGACCGTGAAAGGCAGCAAATGTGTTTAACTTTGGTTGGCCAGATTGCACAGGCTCAGCTGAACGGAGGCCTCTGTAGTGACATCTCTAGGTGTCTCTCACCCAGTCGATTCCAAGGATGACTGAAGAGGTCTCCAGGTTACTTTCTTCTTGCCCCCAACCCAGTTTTTTAGAGTCAAAGTAGGATTGGAAGAATTCTGGTCAATTATTCATTATTGGGGGGGGTTGTTTTTTTTTAATAACTTGCCCATTTGAGTCATCCAAGTATTTCTTGATGGGTCAGAAGTGCAGGGAGCCAGGCTGAGAGATCTGCAGCCTGCCCTGGTTCGTGTTCAGGTGGCCGGCTGCCCTCCCCTGCAGAGACTGTCCTCACCTGCATGAGGGGCCCGCTCGTCCCACTTGTTCCCTGGAGGCTGTTCCCTGGAGGCTGTGCTCTGGCCCTTCAGCCGAGGGCCGTGACTCTGAAGTGGATTTCTCTTCTGCCCGAAGTTGACAGGCCTCAGGTATGTTCAGCTGTGCCTGTGGCTGCTTATGCTCTATCCTCTAAATTTCTGGGTTAACTGATCCAAATTTTTTTTTTTTTTGAATT